TATTTATTATTATTATTATTATTATTATTATTATTATTATTATTATTATTATTATTATTATTATTATTATTATTATTTCATTTTATTCGAATTATATCTTTTATTCGTTTTATTCGTTTAAAAAATAAAAAATATCAATTCACAACTTGATGTAACAAATTCTATATTGCTGTTGTTGTTATTGTTAATGGATTGTAAAATTACAATAATTGTAATCTATATTACTACTGTTATGGATACCATTACTATTTAAATAAAATGGTCAATTATTTCTGCTACCTTATGTATTATTATACAAGGAAAATAGATTGATAAAATTTTTTTAATTGGATTGGATTAGCAATGTGAATATATTATTTAATAAACTTTCAATTTAATTCGAGTAAAACCTTATTCGAATAGAAATCATACTATTTAAGAAAATTTTTTTGGTCCGATATTTTTTGAAGATTTCCAATAAAATTTTCCCAAACCGGGGTATTCCCCGATATTTTTTGATCACACATTCCGCACCCTGGTGTATACCCAGCCAAGACTTTTTTTCATTAATAATTTGGAACCTAAGCAACAATGAAATAGAGTTTTTTTTTAATAATAAAAAAAGCCTTAGTGGTTTGAAGTTACTATCAAAAATGAGATCAAACAAATTTTCTTTATATTTTCAAATTTGGTTAGAACGCGTAGATCACACTCACTACCATTTATTTATATATCTTCTAGCTGTTGAAATTCAAAAAATTAAAAGAAAAAATGAAATGGAGACGAATCTCAACCCAACTTAAAATAATAATACTCTTTCTTGTAGTAATAATCATCGTAACATACAACATATCATATATCTCTTTTAAACTTAGATCAATAGGTTTGCAAAACTTTATTAGAAAAAGTATTAACGAAATAAATATTTTAACTGTTTTTATATATATTAATATATAGGTCGATTAGTGACAAAAGAGCAAATTTTTAGGTTTAGTTACAATCATGACCAAGCAGTATATAACCAAAAGAAACATCCCTTTACAATAGTAACGGCAGCAAGTTCCAATCATTTTTGTGAAGTACAAAGTTGGCTTTACTATATGAAAGGGACAGTTGACTCGATGCCAGCATCTAAACGACCCAGGATTTTAGTTTACGACATTGGATTGGTGAACTATCAGAAAAAATGGTCAAGAGTCTTACTTGAGAAGGGATATTTAAATGAATTCAGGGAATTTGATTTTGAAAAGTATCCGGGATTTTGGAAAATAGATAACGTGACTAGAGGAGAATATGCATGGAAGGCTGGTATAATATCCGAGGTTATTAAAGATTATCCTGGGCCAATATTTTGGCTCGACTCAGGAACTTATGTAAAGTCGGAATTTTTGAAACGATTTAATCTCATTTTGGATTATTACGATGGTTTCTTTTCACCTAGATCATCTGGTAAAATGTTAAAATGGACACATCCAGGCGTTTTCAAATATTTTAATGACGATCCAAAAAAATATTCAGATTTTGTAAATTGTAATGGGGCAGCAATAGCATTAGATTCGAATAGAGTAGAAAATTTAATAAATAATTGGGTAGAATGTGCTCTAGTAAAAGAATGTATTGCTCCAAAAGGCAGTAATAGAGAAAACCATCGACAAGATCAAGCAATATTAACATATTTTGTAGCAAGAGAGAAACGGCACTGTGTAAACAGATTGGGAGTTTTTGGATTGAGGACTCACATGGATAGAGAATGTGCGAAAAATATTTATTTCTATGAAAAATTAAATAACATTACCTGGTCTCCAACTAAAGAGGATTTGAAAGAGATTGAGGATTTGAAAGAGATATTCATTGATCATTATATATATGATATTTGGAATCCTGGAGCTGAAGAACAAACACTGGAAAGAATTCGTAATAATGAAACATTCTAAGCATTAAGAAGATTTATTAAAAAATATGTTTTTTATTTTATTGGGAAAATACACATGTACATTAATAAATATAATTCTAAATTCAACATATCAAATTATTAATGGCCAGTTTTTCTCTTTCTTGTTTTTTTTTTCTCATTATTAATCAGACTATTCTGATCAAGATGAAAGAAAGAATTAAATTTCCTGAAAAACCAATTTCTCGATGTAACGTTATTGGACCTTTCCTATGCATAGAGATCGGCACCACCTAAAAATTCTTTAATCAGTAAATACCCGATTATTATTATCTGCTGATTATCCACCAATTATCCGTATTCCATTAAAAATTGAGGTTGGCACCCGTTCCACCAATTTTAATGGTTAATTATCAATATTGGTGTTACAAGTTGGAATATTTACTTTTTCCTTTTGAGTGGGACTTATGACTAGAGTTTCTATTCGTAATATAATCCTTATTCGAATTATTCGTTTTATTCATTCATTTTATTCGTAATACAACTCAATCTTAACTCGAATTTATCCCATTTATTCGAATTATTCGTTTGATCCATTTTATTCGAATAAACATTCAGTGCAATTCGAATACTCAAATTCATAACGAATAAAAACAAAATTTTTATTCGAATAGAAACTCTACAATGACTATTTGCTAGCATAAAAAAATTTAAATTATTATTATTATTATCATTTCAAGGGAAAAGCCAATTACTACAACTATTATTATTAATTGACTAAATAAAAAACGTCAATTACTAGTATTATTACTATCACTACAAGGACTGACTACAAAGGGAAAAATAGAACTGACAGAAAAAATTATTAATTGGATAATGATAGTGCATATACTATAATCGTATTAGTATGATTAATTGCCGATTATCCACCATTGAATATTTTCAATGACTAAATAAATAATCAATGAATTTTTTTGGTGGATAAGGAGACCATTAATACTAATTAACGCAATATATTACTTTTTTCGAAATTATTTTAAAAGTCGGGAATTGATTTTGCACTTTGTAATATTAATATATATGTGTGTATGTGTATTATATATATTATTATTATTTAAGTGCGAAATAGATCACCAGCATCGCTCGATTAAACCAAATAATATTCACACTTTTCAAGTTGAAGCGAAAACTGAGGGTGGAGATTGGGGGTGGAGATATTTGGTTGGGTCCATCCGCTGCTTCCAAAAAAGCTGACTGTTGTAAAATTAGAAAACCCGGGAAGGGAAAATTAGTTTTAAGCCAAAACAATATCTTTAGTATAACTTATGGAACTATACGTTAAACAAACAAGACGGTAAATTGGGAGGTGATTGGATCGTAATAATAAATTATTATTATTAGCTAGTTTTTATTAGCATCACAAACAGACAAATGCCACAATTGTAATATTAGCCAATATTTCAAATAACCATACTAACGCCATTTTTTATTAGTTGATTTTTGGGAGAGCAATATAAACAATAGATTGCGATGATCGGGTATTTTTATTAACGAATATTTTTGGGCATGATTTGATTATCTTCAAGAAAACTTATTCTCAAAGTACATTGAATTCGAGTTGTTTATATACATACATTTTGCAAATCATCCAATCAAATTTCAACACTATTACAGTCAAACTTTGTTATAACGAATTTCAAACTAGTACACATTTAGAAAGTATCTTAAAGAAATATCCAATCAAATACAATATTTCTGAAGATACTTTCTAAATTTGTACTAGTTTAAAATTCTTTGACGCACATTTGCCCATCTCTAATTAAGAAAGATCAACATTCTCCATTATCGAGCTCCGTCGAGGTGTTAGAACAGTTTCTCCGGATAATCGTCGTAGAGCTGCTATTTTTTGAAATTCGTCTCTTGGATCATTTTTGATATCGCAGTCATAGTTAGCTAATGAACGTGAAACAAACAAAGTTATTCTGGTCCTTTGCCCAGATAAATTTCCGATTATATCCTTCTAAGAAATAGCTTGCTCTTGCATCGCTTCTTCCATTATAAATTCTGATGGTAAGTAGTAGGAGGTATTAATGCGGAACTCTACTGGAAATGTAGCTTCTTATCCATATGTTAGATAGAATGGCTCACGCACGTCTTGTATTTTTTTCCATATAATTGGGAATAAACATTAAGAGATCAAATTTACACGTATCAGTCAGTTTATACTGCAAATTTTAGAGAACAAAGTTGAGATATCTTTTATTTATATACAAACACTCTAAAAAAATCCATATTGTTTTATAGAAAATAAAATAAAATGTATATAAATATACTTATTTATTTTTTTGTAATAATAATTCTTATACTACAAAAATCAAAAGTCATTATTGTCGTATTTAGTATATCTATATATTTACCATCATAAAAATTCAAAATAATAAATTGTTTTTGCGCGTCAAAAAAAATAAAAAAAAAAAAAATAAAATAAAGGGAGAGAAATATAAACTAATCTTAATAATTGAATTATGAATCAAAGGATGGAAATTTAGACCAAGGAAAGAGAAGATGGCAATTTGAACTTTACGGAAAGGTTTTTTATTTTTGCAATAGATCAAACAAATAATATGATGATGTTATGGTGTTGTATGAGGATGAAGGTATGGTAAGTAATAGTAATTAATACTAACACAATACTTTTCTAAAGAAAATAAAACTAAAGATAAACTAAAAAAAAAAAAAAAAATAAAAATAAATCTATATCTATATTTGTTTTGTATATATATATTTTTTTTGTGTATTTTTTTGCATGTTTTTATTTAAAAGCCTAATCAATAATGCTGTATAATATAATAATAATAATTGTTATTGATATTTCTTCCTATTAAAGTCTTTTCATGCTTCTTTTTTTATCAGCTTGCTTCTTATCTAATTTCTTATCACTAGAGGCAACACGTTTCTTTGGTGTTACACTTGTGTGATTTAAATTATCGGATGAGATGGAAGCCGTAGGATTCTTTTTTATGTTTGGATGAGATTTTTTTGATTCGTTGATTGATTGAGACGGAGCAAGTGGCGTTGTGATCATCATCGGATTATTGTTGTTATTGTTATTGGTATTATTGTTAGTATTTGGTGCAGACGTTTTAGTTTGTGCAATATTCGTAGAAGTAGTTGGTATGGTAGTAGATGGTGGTAATGGCGGTGACGACGACGACGATGATGATGATGGCGAGATGAATTTCTTTGAAGATGAAGAAGAACAATTTGGTGTGTGTATTGTTGATGTAGGTGATGATGATGTGGTGGAAGTTATCATAGTACTGCTGATAGTTGTGGCGGTGATGGCGTTATTATTATTGTTGTTGTTGTTATTATTATTATTATTGTTACTACTACTACTAGTATTGTTTGATGCAGTATTATTACTATTATTACTGTCGTTATTATGACTATTGCTGTTATGATTATTATTTGTAAAAAATTCCGATATTTTGTTTTGTGCATGAATTTTTGTCATCATGTTAGCATGTTTAGCATATTCTTCGTATTCTTCTAAAAGTAATTTGCCAGCTTCTTCGTTAAGCGCAGATTCCGGATTAGGAAAAATCAAGAGACATTTTACAGTCTTCAAATATGTACGTATGCGCGTAAGAAGCGTGTGGAATAATGAATGTTAATACATTTATATACGTTATATGTATCTAATAATAATTATTTATTACCAGTAAAATCCTCTCAATCCCAAAATCTTTGTTCCAATCTTTTTTTAGTGTATTTACACAAACTTCACCAGATTTTGAAACATTTGGATGAAAGATTTTGGTTATGAAATGGCCTGTTGTTGATTTGATGTTCATAGCGATAATAATAATAATAATAATGGTTAGTAAATCATTATTTTTGTATTTATTGATTGATTAATTAATTGATTGATTGGTTACATTTTGGAGGTACTGATGGAAAATCGGTGCCTAATACCACTTTAATCTTAAACATTCCTTCTTCGTAAGGTGTTCCCTCTACATATTTTCAAAAGAAAATAGAAAAGATCAATATCATTCATTACCATCATTTTACAAAGAGAAAAAAAAGGTCATTTGAAGCTATCTGTAGTTAAACTAGTCGGTTAACTAACCAGGCCCTAATATCCAAGCTTGAATATCACAAACATCCAGCTCATTAATGATAACTCTAATTCCTTCTGGAGGCTGTGCGACAAGAACGTTCAACTCCTTGGATATTCTTTTGATGATAACTGGTGAAATGTTTTCAATAGCTGACTATAATAAAGGAGAGATGCATAGAGAAATACACGTGCATATATACATTGACAAATACGATATGATATGTTTTAAATAATCAGAATATATTTAAAAGAAACAAAGAGCCAAAACAAAACGTGTTACCATTTTAAAAAATACCAAAGAAATTAGTTAATATTTCCAAAAATTTTTTCAAAAAAAGAATAAATAGATATATGGAAATGTAAATTACCATGTTTCTAAGCGACTATTTATTTAAATTTACAATAAATATTTCTATTTTGATTTTTTTTGGTTTTTTTGTTTTGAATGTAAAAATAATTTTAAAACAAAAATTTTTATATAAATATTCACGTTGTTACACCAAATTTGCCAAATTACATTATTATTACGTATTTTATTTTCCCATAAAAATAATCTTAACTCTTATTATTGCCTTTTTTATTTAAATATTCTATTGCTTTTTTTATTATTATTAAAAATATTAACAAAAAATTGTATATAGGAAACGTTAAAAATTTTTTAAGATAATGATTCCTTTTATAATAGACAACGATCTACGAAGCTCATAAAATAGACGGTATTTGGCTTATTTATAATTATTAAACTTAAATTTAACATTTTCACATGTTAATCTTCTTGAAGCATTTCCCTTTGAGGGTCTCTTGGTGTTACAAAAATCAATAACAAACGAAATGGATTGATTATATGAAAGCGCAAACCTTAGCAAAATATAGAATCAACTATTTTCATAATTATCTAAAAAAGTTCATTTTTAAAT